TTCCTTTTGTATGCTAAATATAATTTGGCATACTCTTTAACATTTATTAATCTAGTATCACTTGATGTTCTAATTTACTCTCCATGTCAGCATCTAATTTAGTACTAATCTTTTCAAGAGTTTAGTTAAGATCCTGGAAACTTTGCTTCTTTAAACACTGCTACCGATTTGAGAAATCCCAGAATCAAAGGAGTTGGTGTGGCAGCTCATTACTGAACTGTGAGCTCTAGATCTATTGAGTTACTGCCAGAAAATATTTGCACTCTATAATCGTGGACTTTTATCCTTTTGTCAGTGAGATCTAAAGTAGACTACCTGAATATGGTTAGTGCTTCCTGATGATCTTCTTTCTTGGAACTGAGGAATCCTTGTCAATCTCACTACAGTTCTGCCCTTTAAAAGTGGTGTGCTGGGGCCAATAAAGCAGGCAGGTATTGCTCCTGAATAAACAGTTCATCAAAAGTCTGAGAACGGAAGGTTTCAAATGTATCAAAGCAATTGGCACAGTTGTTCACTAGTTAATTAGGAACACAAAGGCACTTTCGTCAAGCTGCCCAGACCAGGGGGCCATCTGCGTGACAGCATTGTCTCTCTGATGGTATGTACAAATAGAGCTTAGCTGGTGCTCTCGAGGGAAGTCTCATTGACCTTCCTGCTTTAAAATATATATAAAGCATATGGAAGAGATGAAAAATTGAATATAATCATAGAATGAGCCCCATTTTTAAGTGTTTAGTCTTCTGAAGAATTTCCCCTAGGGACTTATGCCCTGTTTATGTTAGTTTTGATAATTGCTTTATTTTACTGCTACATATTTTAGTAATATTGTAATTATTCCCAGTCTATGGAGGTCATGGCACTTCTAATGCAATAATACATAATGTATAATTGCTTTTTAAGTTTTCTGCTTCCTCCATTATGTGTGATTTTGTGAAGTTAGGAACCATATCTATTTTGTTTAATTTTATGTTCCCTCTACCTAGTACAATTCTGGAGTATGGTAAAATAATGTGATGATATTGAAAAGTTTTATTTTTTTTAAATAAAGTTTTTTGTTTCTTCTGACTTCCTGGAAACCATATACCCATACTTGGCTTTGTAAACAAGTATATTAGTATCTGGATTTGCTTTGTGTAATAATATTTTTGTTCCTTATAACTCTTAAACCTGCATGAAGGGAGAAAGCTATTGAAATGTATACTGATATATACATTTGAGCATCACTTCTATTTGTTAATTCTATCCTCTTATTATCTAAGTTGCCACCATTATAAACACCATAAATTTATGCCAGAAAGATGCTGTAAGAGGCCACTGTATTTGGTATGATTTCCTAGTTAACAGGTCAGTCATTGATAATGAATGGGTCTCATTCCTAGGACTCCTAGTGGCTCACCCATACATTATCAAGAGACAAATAGAATCCATGTACATGCATCATCACCTATTTTTCTAGTAACTTCCTTTCTGATTTCTTGGTAGAAGTAGATGCTGCTACTTTGTGTCACCAAAGTTCCTGATACTTCAATTATAGACCTATGTATTTGCATGTCTATTTTCCCAAACAGTGAATCTTGAAGTCAGGAGTCCTATCTTATTTGTCCTTGCATCCTTCAACTGAGTGCACTAAGTTGAGTATACTTAATGGCATGACAAAATAACAATCTAAGTGATACTTCGTGAATACTTGGTGAATGGATTGTTCTAATTCATCAGAGACTAAACATGAGATGACAAAGATACATATATTTTTAGCTGGCATTTTGGAAACTAAATAGACTTATTCTGTTCCTAGTAAGAACAAAACAGGATTTCTATAAATAAAGGCTGATATTCAAAGAAACTCTAAATCAGTCTCTTCAATCATGCCTATTATTATTTTGTCCTTTAGAAATCATTTATTCCTTTCTAAATTACTTTGGTACATGGCTCACACCCATCCCTGTCAGAAGCCTTTTGCAAAGACCTATTAAAACTATGGACTGCATAGATTTTAAATTCTTCCTTGCTTTAATAATGCTTTAAGGACATAAATAAATTGCTTTTCTTTTTTTAGAGTTTTTATTCCAGTTAACATACAGTGTAAATATTATTTTCAGGTGTACAATATAGTCATTCCACCCTTCCATAAAACATCTGGTGCTCCTCACAAAAAGTGCACTCCTTAATCCCCCCACCCATCTCCCCTCTGGTAACCATCAGTTTGTTCTCTATAGTTGAGTCTTTTCTTCTTTAACTCTCTAACATCTTCTTTTAAAACCATTTATTTCTTTTCTTCATTACATCTTTTCACTTTTTTTCACCTTTTTATTGAAAAGGTGAACCACAATCTTGATGATATGTAAGAAGGACATAAAATACTCAGAAAAAGCCATTATACTCATGCTTACAGTTTATTACCATAGAAGATACAAACCAGAGTCCTCAAAGGAAAGAAACACATGGTCAAATTCCAGGAGAAAACAGGTACAAGCTTCTAGGTGTCTGCCCCACCAATAGAACCATGTAGAGATGCACTTTACTCTCCCAGCAACAATGTCTGACAATACTGGCAAGGTGTTGCCAACCAGGGAAGCTTAACCACGTCTTGCTGTCCACGGTTTTTATTTGGCTTTAGTCACATAGACATGTAGCACCTGTATGACTGACCTCAGGCTCTAACTATCCCATTCTTCAACCCCAGAACAAAAACATGCATCCACCATAAATCATATTGTTAGGTAAACTTATTTGGTCAAAATGGTACAGCATGGCTCAAAGTTCCAAGCATACAAAAACAGGTATTCATTTTAAATACTACCAGGCCAAAAGCTTTAGGCATACAAAACTCTCATGTCAGGCAGAATATTCAAAAGCTCAGAAGTTATCTTCCAAGAGTGGGCTGAGGGTCACTCCTGAAGATAGATAGGCCTTTCTTTGGAATATGCAGGTTTTGAGCAACCCAGACATGTTGAATAAAACCTGTCTGTCCAACAGTCCGAGAGTAAAGTACACAAAATGCACTCATTTTAAGGTAAGAGATCATTAAATTTTTGCATATGGTACAGCTATGTCTCCAGATAAAGATACAGCTTATATTTCTTTAACCTATCTACATTCTTATATTTCGAGTAAGTTTCTTACAGATTTCATTTAGTTATTTTTTAACCACTGTAGTAATCTTGGTTTTTAAGTTGGTGTGAACATCTGATTTAGTTGTTTTTTTTTTTTTAAGTCTGTGACCTATTTTTTTTTTTCTATTTGTCCTAGCCATAAAATTCTTACTTTACACTTACGACTTTTGTGTACCCACATTTGTCCCCTATGTCACAATTCTTCATAAACTAGCCAATAATTATTCTTTCCTTGTTTCTGGGTATAGGGCATCCAATTAGAGATTATAGTTCCCATTTGGCCAGATATGGTCATGAGATCAATGTCAAACTCATAGGAAATTAGACAGAGTGATGTGTGAAATGTCTTGACTATCTCTAGCTTAAGTACATTCATACATAAAATAATTTTCCCTGGACTTAGTCCCATTTTTCTTTCTAATTCTAAAATATGAATGGATATGTAACCTAGACTTTTCTAACCTAGGGCAATTCTCTAGAGAATGGCAAAGGAAGAAGGTAGAAAGAACCCAAATCCTGAGTGACTGTTCTCTAGTGGGGTGTTGAAGTCCCCAGTGATAATTGTGGATTTGTCTATTTCTCCCTTTTACCTCCAGCAGTTTTAGCTTCATGTATCTTGAGGCTCTGGTTGGTTGGTACACATTCAGCATTGCGCACCATTATGCAATGATTTTATCCTTTTTCTTTTAATCATTATGCAATGTCCATCATTGTGTCTAGTAATTTGCTTTGTAGTCTTCATTTGATATAGCCATTTACTCCTGCTTGTTTGCTTAACATTTGTACAGCTTTTTCCATCCTTTTACTTAAACCTACTTTCGTCCTCTAATTTGAAGCAAGTTTCTTGTAAGACACATAGTCAGATCATGCTTTTTGTCCACTCTGCTAATCCTTGTCTTTTGATTGGTATATTTAGACCACTTACATTTAAGATAATTATTGTTATGTTAGCACTTAAGTCTGATATTTTATTATTTATTTGCTATTTGTTCTGTTCTTACACCTAAATTTATTTTATATTGTCTTCCTGTAGGTTACTAAAACATGTTTTAGGATTCCATTATGACTTACTTATAGTGTTTTTGAGTGTATCTCTTTGTAAAGTTATTTCTAGTGGTTGCTCTTGGTATTATAGTAAACAAAAATGTACAAAATTTGGGATAAAGATAAATAATATGTGTTAATAGTAAAACAAAATATTAGGTAGATGCTAGTGATTATTATGGCCCTTGATTTTTCATCTAGAAATCATTGTAGTTTGACTTAAACCAGTTTTCACACTCTGTTTTTCTTATAAAACCAAAAGAGAGTTTAGTTGCAATTACAAAGCTTCTATTCTACATTAACTTTGGGAAATTCAGGGATTACTAGTCAAAAATCTGTATTCCATTCTTCTAAGCCAAAGAGCTAGGAGATCACCAGGGATCCTGCTGCCCTTGGAGCAGCGATGTAGTTCACTATTTATTTATTTATTTATTTTTTATTTTATTATTATTTTTTAAAGATTTTACTTATTTATTTGACAGAGA